CAAGGCTGCGGGGAGGAGGGGACAGAGCTCTTCCTTTGGGTCCCGTCACCCCATTCAGTTCAGTGGCACAATGGCGGCCGCTGAATGGTAAGAGGACGCGCAGCCGCGGAGGACCGATGAGGGTCCCGGCCAGTCCCAGATTGCCATCCACCATCGTCTTACCAGAATGAGGTCTACTGGCCGTCTCTGCGCTCGGTACCCTGTGCCTGGCCGGAGTCTCCTCCTCCTCAGTCAGGTCGATGAGCTGGCCGCCGGCTGGGGGTCTGGTCCTCCCCCCCATCGGCCTCACAGCCTGGACGGGGGGTAATTCTGGGGTCCGGCCCCCCGAAGAGTCTGGAATATGGAAATATTTCATCAACACCATCAAAAGATAAAACCCCTCAAACTCTCCGACAGATGACAAGTGATTACCGTTCCTGGCGCTCCGCTTGTACTGATTGGCTGTTCTGGCCTTAGCGCCTGCTGGCTCCTCCTCCTGCGTCAGGTCAATACACTGGCCGCTGGATCGGGGGGGGTTCTTATGTGAAGTGTTCGATGGTCCATGAGAGCGTGCAGAGTCGCTGTGAGCTGGAAGACACAAACGTGCCAAATGAGACCCGAGCTGGACACAGGCCGCCACTGGAGTCAACGCTACACCTCAGACATGGGAAAGCCCCACCTCCAACAAGGGATCAGGAGCCCCACCTCCAACAAGGGATCAGGAGCCCCACCTCCAACAAGGGATCAGGAGCCCCACCTCCAACAAGGGATCAGGAGCCCATTTATTGTAGAGTCTGATTCTCCTGCACCAGAACGGAGGACACTAGAAAGAAGCAGGCGGTGTATGGGGCGCAGTGCAGCATTATAATGGGGACAGCGGCTGGAAGTTGCCCCGACTGACCTTCGCTTGGCTCACATCGCCTCCGTACACCGGGGTCAGGCTCCCCCACACTGGACGGGTTACTGGACGCCGTGGCCGGGCTCATACAGCTGCCGTCAGTGACGCCATTCACCACCTTCTTCAGTCCGCTGAGAGCAGAACAGGAAGTATCTGCGGAGGAGGAAAACGCGTCACACAACTTCCCCCAACAAAACCCCCCGCCCGGGGGCCCAACATCCCGAGACAAGGACTGTCAGCATAGGGAATGGGCCGGGACCATAGATGAGGTACTGATACATATAATGCGCTCATCAGAACCAGTGTTCATGGATTGCTCAGGCACAGGGGCATTGTGGGAAATAAGCTTCACCCAGCATACAGAACAATCTTACACGTCAGACGTGGTCACTATGGATACCCCCCGGTTACATGGATGACACAAGGGGAAGATATTGTCACGTGACTTCTACTCGTCACGGCCATTGCCCCATAAGATCTCCTGAATGTCAGGACGCGGCTCAGTCGGGAATTTCTGGGGAATGTCTAGAGAGCGGTGGGAAGGTTTCCTCACCAATGGCCGGCTGGTCACTTTTCTTTCGCGAGCAGATTTCTACGGCGCTTTCACTTGCAGACGTGCTGACCGCGGAGAACGGACTGACGCAGCCGAGATCAGAGAAGCCATTCACCACTTTCTGCAGGCCGCTGAGGGCAGAATATGAGGAGTCTGCGGGGAGAGAAGGGATTAGATAGAGGCAAATAGTGGAGACATGGTGGGGGAGCTGTAACTGGAGACATGGCGGGGGAGATATGACTGGAGGCATGGCGGGGGAGATATGACTGGAGGCATGGCGGGGGAGATATGACTGGAGGCATGGCGGGGGAGATATGACTGGAGGCATGGCGGGGGAGATATGACTGGAGACATGGCGGGGAGATATGACTGGAGACATGGCGGGG